TGATGGGCTGAACTGCACAAAACGCATGATCGCACCGGCTAGTCTGGTGCGCGTTGCCATTTATTCATCTTAAGACCCACAAAAGCTGCAGGGTTGAAACTTGGGAAACTTTTTTTCATGCGTATGCGGGGCTCCATCTCCGAAACGGGCGTGCTTAGCCGCGTGGTACCCACGTACGGGCCCGCCAAAAAATTTCTCAGGTAAGCTGTTGACTTGGGAACCTGAAATTCTAGAAGGCTGAAATTTTAAGGAGATGCTGCCCGTCCAAGTAGGTATTAATGAGTCCAACTTCGACCCTCGGGTACACGTGATACCCACGTACGGGTCTGCCAAAATTTTTTCGGGCAAGTTGCTAACTCGGGAACCTGAGAAGCTAGAAGACTGGGATTTCAAGGGGATGTTCCCTGTCCACGTAAGTCTCAAAGAACCCAAACCCAGCTTCCGGGTATGCGTGGTATCCACGTGTGGGCCCATGAAAGTTTTTTTCAAGTAGATTGCTAATTCGGGAACCTGAGAAGCTAGAGGATTGAAATTTTAGGAGGACATTCCCCATCCAAATGGGTATAAATGAGCGCAAACCCAGCCTCCGGGTTCGCGTGGTACCCATGTACGGGCTCGTGGAAGTTTTTTCGGGCAGATTGCTAATTCGGGGGCTAGGAAAGCTAGAAAGCTAAAATTTTAAGGGAGTGTTTTCTGACAGTTCTGGGGGCCAGTCTTAATTTGTTTAGCTAGAAGCATTAGCGAGAAAAGCCGGTGCAAGTAGCGACAAAAACTGCGGGGAACCATGCAAAAAACGCATCCTTGCTTGGGCAGCCCGTGCGTTGACCAATTATTATTTTCTTGCAGGCCAGTGGAGATACGACGATAGGCGGGGCGCCGGCGATCCCGACGCGACAGTATTTGGATCAGACAGTTGTGCCAATTTTACTTCAGGCGTTGGGTGCCCTGGCGAAGGAACGCCCTCCTAATCCGATCGATTACCTTGCTAACTACCTGTTGAAGGAGAAAGAGCGTTTTGCCAACCCTACGCCGCCGCAACAGCAGCAACAGCAGCAGCAGCAACAGACTAACGAATCCAGCCACTGAACGCTGTTGGCCGGTAGAGTTGTGCCACGGTAGTGCAGGGTTGCTGGGCTTTCGAAGGCGAATTTTTATTGGTTTTTATTTGTTCTGTCCTGCAAAAATGCTTGCGAGAGATGTCTGAGGGCCATCTGCTTGCCAGTGCTGCTGCTGCTGCTGCTGCGCTGATGGCGCTCGACTGCTCATTGCTGTTTATTATTTTTAAGTGCCCCTGTGGCTCGTCGTCTGTCGAGTCTCACCTGGGCAACACATTTCACACGTTTTGAGCTCTACAAAAACATTTTAAATTTGTTGTTAATGCGCTTATTGCTATGTTAGTGGTGTGAGTTAAGACTGTGAGAACGGAGCGAATGTCGTCCCAGCACCTCGTTCTGTGATATTGCTAAGAACGTAGTGAAAATATTCTCGTGCTCCCGATATTTCTTCCTTCTCACAGCTTTTTTATGCTCGTATCGTTTTGTTCATTTGCTTATTGCAGAATTTATGGGCTGATAAAGCTTGAGGTTCGTTCACTGCTTTGGCTTTCCAGTTTGCGCACTGTCAGCCTATCTCTTCTACGTTCGAATCATTGCAGAATCCCATTATCTCAGGAAAACATGTTGATTGCCGGCGAGGTTGCTGGAAAATCGTTATGGAAGTTACTGAAGTTATAATCGGGGGGTGGTCATCGTTCAGGATGATTGAGGGCCTGAATGACACTCCGGGAGGAACTGATCGAGAGGGGCCAAGTGTACTGAGGAACTGGATTTAGCATCTTTAAATTGTGGTAGGCAGGGGGTGTCCGCTTGAAATCTCAGCTTTCCAGTTTTTCTGTCCCCCGAGCTGCCAGTTTCCCTGCCAAAGACTTCACGTGGCATGCGCAAAAGTTGGTGCCACTTTCCTGGAATAGCACTTGGTTACAAAACCCACTAGCAGATTTCAGCATCAAAGTTTGCCTGGTTGTCGAGCTGAAATACCTGGACACACATACACAAAGAAATAACCACGGGCCATCACAATATGCATTAAATAGCGGCGCGCACCAGGGTGGCCGGTGCAATCATGCGTTTTGCGCAGTCCCGCCCAGCAAGCATTTGCCTCCTAGGGATTTTCACCAAGTCTGCAAAAATAGTAGAAATGTTGTCCGGTTCCTCTGTTGCGAAGTTTCTCACCAAAGCCTTGTACGATAAACATCCACCCAAAATCATCCCTTTCTCGCTTTTGAAAGATTTCTGAGCCAAGATTTTTACGTTGTCGTGCGCGAGATCTCGGCATACTTGGGAATTGAATTTGAGTTTGTGTGGCCTCTGCATAGGTAAAAAAAATCCTCCTGAAATCTTCAGCCTCCTGCCTCTTTTGGCTTCCAGGTAATAATTCTTTCCACCAAAACTTTCACAGTGACGTTGAAAGCTGAGTTTGAAATTGCAGGATCACACGTGGACAGACTAAAATTTCGGCTTCCCAGCTTTCGTAGTTCCTAGAATAATTTCCCCACCAAAACTTTCACAGGGCCGTACGTGGTACGCAGACCTAGGGGAAAGATGAATTTAAAGTTGCCGAGTCGTACTTGGGCAGGGGACATTACCATAAAGTTAGCTTTTTTAATTCGCGAGATAATAATTTCCCCGCCAAAACTTTTACGGGGCCGCACGTGATACCCCAGTGCGCAAGAAGGCTGAATTTAAATTT